TATATATGTATGGGCTGACATTTTGTGCTCTGGTGCCAAACACAAAACAGTTTTGAGTTAACCGTGTTTTTGCCATACCTTTCCAGTATTGTGACTTCTTGTGTTCTCAGACTGTGGCTTCAGATGTGCCAACACAAAGTGTGTCCCTCTGAACCGGACTTGCGACGGAGTTGACGACTGTGGCGACCTCAGCGATGAGATGTGCTGCAAAAGTAAAAGAAAGAAAACGCACACTTTTTGCATTGTGTCGTATTGTCTTTTCATGATGTGAATTATGTTTATGGTTCACAGAATGCAGGAACGGAGGTTTCCGCTGCAAGACGGGTGTGTGTGTGCATCCAGAGGCGCTCAGCGACGGACAGATTGACTGTCTGGACGGCGAGGATGAATTAATGAAACACGCACTCAACCGTGAGATACGCATTCGAACATCTGTTTACCCAAAAGTAATATATTAATATTCAATTTTGGGAAATCACTGAAAGTGATCAGCCCTTTAAACCAGCACCTAACAGTCCTCATGGTTATCTTAGGCTCCACTTCCTGTAAATAAACAACCCAGTTCATGTGAATAGTTGTCACACTTTGAACAGACCGACTCCAGGAACACGGATCCACCATCTGTTTGAGTGTTTGTAGTAATCGTACTGTATTTATGTTCTCCACAGAACCAGAAGCAGAGCACAAACCACTCAAACACTTGGGTAAAGTATACCTGGAACTGAGGTAGAGGGGTTTGAATGTAGTTGTTGTTAGTATTTGGGATAATAATGAAATTTGTTGTTTTGTTGTTGTTGTTTTTTTCAGAGTACACCTCCCCCAAAAACGGTATGTAGCCTTAACATTGACTCTTATGCTGCGTTCACACCACAAGCAAAGCGAATCTTTCGCATCGCTTTCGTTACTCACGGGATCATTTGTGTCCATTCGAGTCTTTGCATTTATTTTGTATGTAATTTCGTTGTGCGAAAAAATTAGCTTTGTGTCGTATTTTCAGAAGTGGTCGTATGTTTTAGGTATGTGGGGATCCCTTTAAGGGAGCAAACCCCGACAACCAGGTTCCAAGATCTGGCCTGAAACCAGTAGAGCGAGGCCGTGGTGACAGCAGATTAATGAACACGGTTGTGGAATATCTTCAACTATCACATGAGGCTTGAACGGTTCGGGTGTCCAGCCACGTTCCTTTAGGATAAGTCAAACCTCAGGTCACCAGGTCACCTTACCACAAGTCAGGTTTCGTCCCACACGCCCCCAAGACAAAGTCATCAGGATCTCATCAGAGCTGGATGTGAATTTATTAACAACTCAATGCATGTGTGTCCAGAAACGAGGGCCGACAGAGTGCATTTGGAGGCCAACTTATACTGCGGGATTCCCAACGCGACCACGGTGGACGACATGGAGGTTGAGCACCGAGCGAGGGCCAGCCGCTTCAAGAGAGTGGTGGGAGGCGTCCCGGCAAACCCGGTCAGTCAGGGACGCACCTGTCTGTCCGTCCATTTTCACAGTCAGATTCAGTGTTTTTAGCTTTCAAAAGACAGACAGTGGTTTTCCAAGTGCTGTCTTTAAAGATTCTGTTCTATTACTTTGATCAAAGTACTACATTTCAAGCCCTAGCTATAACATTTTGATGTGATGTTACTCCCTTTGTACTAGTTTTAAACGAGCATGGTGGCGATTGTATGATTTTCCAGCAGCCCCTTTGCTTCCAATCGTGATTTATAAATAACAAAATGTTAATTTATTTATTATTTTTCCAGTAGTTTCAAATGGGAATCTGTCCCTGTTGTGCAGACTCAGATCCAGTGGCAGATTGCTCTGGTGGAGAACAGGAAGATCGACTGCGGAGGCGCTTATATCGGAGGATGCTGGGTAATCACGGCTGCTCACTGCGTCAGGTAGGACCAGTGTTTAGGTGGAAGTAAATGATGATGCAGTAGTATCAGTATGAAATATGAGCAGTGGTGGTATGTGGTATGGTGTTGGTATGTTTTGTAGTAGCAATAGTTGTATCTAAGGAAGTTGTAATGGCTTTAAAAATCCCAGAAGTACTAAAAGTACGAGTAGTGGCCGTTGTAGTAGTACTCTCTCTCTTCTTCAGGCCCACCCCTTCTGCGTTCAAGGTGAAGTTTTCTCTCTGGAGGAAGCTTCAAGCTCAGGACACAACTGACATTGTTCCTGTTGAAGACATTCGCATCCACCCAAAGTATTTATCCATCCGAAGGATCATAACACATGCTCGTGATCATTAATTGAATGGTAATAACGTGGGTGTATTTATACACCTGCAGGTACAACGCCAACACCTATGAGAACGACATCGCTCTGGTGAAGCTGGAGAAGCTTCCGTACAAGGACAAATGTTTGGAGGATAACCCGGCCGTCAGCGCCGTCTGCGTCCCCTGGTCCTCCCAACTCTTTCAACCCAACCACACCTGCAGCATCTCTGGGTGGGGACGAACCGCAGGTGTGTTCCTCCGCTGACCGGAAGTCTAACATTAGTGTAAACGAAGCCCTCCAGTGAAGAGATAGATGGGGTGTTGATGCAAAAGATCAGGCAACTTATCACACTAAAGAAGAAAGAATACTTACACCTTCAGTGGTGGTTTAATAATCTGATTTCATTCCATATAAATTAAGCTTTATTAAAATATGAATTTAATTTCATCAACATGTTCATTTAGTGGCATGAAATGCTTTCAACTTCACTAGAAGTGAAGAATTTATCGTGTTCCACGAAATATGAAGTGGATCAAAGTTAAATTCATGCTCTGAAGCTTGATAAGCGTCAGGTTGTCCGTCAGCGTATTAACGGTGGAAGGGTTAAAACGTCAGCGTTTGAATATTGATGACTTTGTCCACAGATGGCAGAGCGGCTCAGGTGTTGCTGTGGGCCAACGTGTCCCTCATCGCCGACTGTCAGAGATTCTATAAAGATCGCTTCAAACCCGGCATGATGTGTGCGGGCGACCTGGACGGCAGCGTGGACTCCTGTCAGGGCGACAGCGGAGGTCCGCTGGTCTGCGAGGACGAACTGGGAGTTTCCTACCTGTGGGGCATCGTCAGCTGGGGAGACAAGTGTGGACAGCCGGGGTTCCCTGGAGTTTATACACAGGTACAAATACATGCAGTGTTTTTACACAGCAAATATATATCACTATACTCTTTCATCATAAACCTCAGTTTAAAAAAATGCAATCAAAACTATAAATATTTATTTGCAATAAATCGAGGAGGCAGCAACCTCCTCGATTTATTACCTCAGTAAACATTGTAAACATGAGTTTATGGTCTCAATCTCTAGTTTCAAGTCTTCTTCAATACAGCATGATGTTCATTTAGTACATTATGGTCCATTTAGAGTCACACAGACCATAAAGCAGGGGATGCTTTAGGGCGGGGCTACATGCTGATTGACAGGTTGTAATCCAAGATGGCGACGGCTAAATAGCCAAACTCGAGGCTTCAAAGCTGAAGTCCACAAACCAATGAGTGACGTCGTGACGACTGCGTCCACTTCTTATATACAGTCTGTCATTTGTACTGAATATTACAAACAGTTGCAGTACAATTTATTACATCGTGCTTTTATATTCTGTGTTTTATTAACAGATATAACTTATGGTTATGCTGATGACTCCCTCCTCTCTCTGTCTGACAGGTGGCTCATTACTTTGAGTGGATACGACTTCACACAGGGTGGCCTGCCGTTACCAAGTTCAACTCTTGATGAGGCAAACACACCCTTACAGAACACTGAATTAAGAGTCAAGCTGTCACGTACCTTAAATAGCCTATTGTTAGTTCACTGATTTATTAAAAATCGTATTGTGTTATGTAGTGTACAGTGTTGTACTATATACAGTGTTTGCTGGAGCATCGTACTGATATTAGGCCACTAAATTGTAATAGTCTGCCCAGGGACTGCAGAGGAAAATTAGCTCTGGAGCTAACTCTAACACATTTACATTGAGGTGGAAACTGAAGTGTTAATTAATGTGCACCGTCTCTAGTAAATAAAAAAAATAAATAGATTAAAATATCACTTTGTCCAATAGAATGAGTTTTCCGGTTTCTCTGGCTCACAAATACAGAAATTTGTTTATGTGGCTAATACTGTCAATAACAGTTTTATTAGTATTTCAGTGCTGATTTAATTGAAAACAATCACATTTAGCAATATAAATAAATATTTTCTATTCTCCAATAGGCCTATTCAGACATGTTCTATCTCTTAGCCTAAAATATGATCATAAATATCATTAAATTCTATTTGTTCATTTGCACTTTTTTAACATTTTTTATTAATGTGAATGAATGTGTTTAATGCAACACTGATACGAAACTTTGAATGAACTGTCCCTAATTTGCTGACGTATGTGGCTTTTTGTTTTGGCGCTTCAAATCACTAAAGAACAAAACAACTCGCTAATATCCGTCTGCAGCCGTTCTCTATTTCTACTAGTGGGAGTTGGCCACACACTCGTTTAACAGGAATTAAAGCTGTCAGAAGTCGTGTCTGCACACAAAACAAGGAAACACTTTTCAAAGTCCGCTGCATGTGGCAGGGCAACCGTTGGTTCTGCCACAGATTGCAAACAAAATATAAATGCTGTTTCTACAAATAGCGTATTTTTGTAAGCTAACAAAATACTAAATTTCACTCTTTCCTACTTTGTACGTTTGTCCTGCAACTGCTGCACGAACATTTAAATTTTAACTTATGAAATAAGTGTGTTTTTGCCTTTAAGGGCAGAATGTGTCATTAAGAATATTGAAATGTTTTACAGGAAGAGGAATAAAGAGGGAGTTTGATATATAGCATACCTAAAAATACTCTTATCTTTACATCAATTTCACAAATACCTCGAGATAAATCAAGGACACAGGATGAGAACCTTTTTACTTCATTGTGTTTTTAATAAAAACAGATGACAAAAGCGTGAAGAAACAAAGTACGAAAATGTGCAAAAGGGACATTTAATGTCAAAAAAAGAATAAAGTGAAACCTCAGGTGGCTCTCTGTGGTTGAGGCTGATCCACCTGCAGCCGGATGGCGCTCCTCAAGCTGCTGAGATCACCTTCCACCTGCAACCACACAGGTTTCTACATGTGAATGACTTCAGGTGGCAGTTTTGGAATAGTCTGCTGTAAGCATCCATTTCATTCCAACTATAAATGAACGAATGAAAACCTCTTATTTTGGCGGGGGAAAAACAAATAAGAAGTCCACACAACATAATTAATAAGAAAGGTTAGCGCCACAAAATACATCATTTCTAGAAGACAATGTTGCTGTGTAAACACTTTGTGTGTGTGTGTGTGTGTGTGTGTGTGTGTGTGTGTCCATCACCTTTGCCAGCTCTTCTTTGAGTTCGTTGTATTTTTGAACATTGAATTTCTGTTGAGATGCTTTCTGGTGGAAGAAGTGAAGGAACTGACGATCTCGCGCATTCGGATAGATTAAATCCTGTCAACACAAACACACACACACACAATTTAAATCACAGACACATGTTTGTACTTATGAAGACCCTCAGACTTTTGGGCGAAGTGAAGATTTGGTGAAGTGGGGACCTCACAGCGTGGTGGGGACCGTTGACTTAGTGGGAACAATTGGCGAAGTGGGGACCTTTAAGTGAAGTGGGGACCTTTAAGTGAAGTGGGGACCTTTAAGTGAAGTGGGGACCCGGTGCTCACTTATCAGGTCTACAAAATATTCATTGGTCTTCACAAAGACAGCAGACCCACTCACAGGGACCCTACCTGTTTGGTGAGGATGTAGTAGGCGAAGAACATCATGCTGGTGCTGCAGGTGATGAAGAAGGTGACTGGTTCCATGACGTCCCACGCAAACACATACCTGTCAACACACACAAATATTAAAACATGATTACAGGATACCGGAGTGCAGTAGAGTTTCAGGTTAGTGTGTGTGTGTGTGTGTGTGTGTGCGCTCATTACCAGGTGAGGTAACCCAGGAATCCTCCCTGCAGGGACAGGTAGGCAAGCCCCCCCCACCCCAGTATTGATGCTCTAGACTCCGCCTCCTGCGCCATCTTGACTCTCACCTGTACACACACACACACACACACACACAGAGAAACACAGGTGTGTTCATGCTCATACTGAACGTCTTTATGGTGTCCAATGAGCTTTAGAAGCGCTCAGATCCTTTACTTGAATAAAAGTACAAATATCATCGTACAAAGATACTTCAGTAAAAGTAAGAGTGCTGAATTCAAAATGTTATTTAAGTAAAAGTAGAGAGGTTTTATCAGTAAAATATGACAGTAATACAAGATGTCTCCTTTCAAAGTTTCATATTATTATAGAATATTATATCCTGTAATTTACTGTCTCGAGCGGCTGCAGCTGCTCTTTGAGCTGCTCCTGTCTCATCAGCAGCTCGTTGTGTTTGATGTGCTGCCGCTGAGGAAGATTCAGAGCCGAGTGAAGCAGGCGGACCACGTACTTCATGTCGTCCGGACCCAACATGTGTTCATGAGACGAACCTGACGGACACAGAAACGGGGGGTTTGTGGTATTAATACTTTTTTCTCCAGTCGTTCTGAATGAACTAAACGTTTCATAACAGGAATCAGTCAAAGTGCATCTTCATGCAAAGCTAAGCTAACCTCGTCCACACAGGTCGTACCTTGTCCAAGTGAGCGAACGTTGTGTGTGACGCCATTGATGACCAGCTGAAAGTCTTCATTTAAAACTGTTTCCATGAAGGTGCATGAAGAGATTCTCTGTCCATCTGAGGACAAAACAAAGTTTAGTTTCATGTATTCATGACTTGTGTGGCTGCTCTTCTGCTTCCATCTTTGTGAGGACCAGTTTGTGTTTTAGATTAAAAGTGAGGATGTTTTTAGAAAGTAGGGACATTTGTGGAAAATAATGCTAGGACATTTTCAGTAAACAGACATTTTTGGGAAAGTCGAGGCATTCTTTGTAAGTGAGGAAATCAGTTGTAAGTGAGGACTTGAGGACATTTGTTGTAGGTCAGGATTTTAAGAAAGTCAGGACGTTTGTCAAAAGTGAATGCATTTTTACAAAAAGGAGACATGTTAGAAAATGTGGACGTTTTTGGAAACTGAAAATATTTTTGTAAAGTGACGACATTTAACAAAGTGGAGACATTTTTAGAAGGAGAGGGAATTTGCTGTAAGCAAGTATATTTTGGGGGTTTGAGGACATTATTGTAAACTGAAACAATTTATAGAAAGTGAGGACATCTGTGGACAGCAGTGACATTTCGGGCAACTCAAGAAAATTTTTTGGAAAGCGAGATTTTTCAGAAAGTGGGAACATTTCTTGAAAGTAGGGGCAATAAAGAATTTCAAGACATTTTGGAAAGAGGACATTTCTAAATAGACATTTAAGGAATTTGATGATGATTTCAGAAAGTGGAGACATTTTTAGAAGGTGAGGGAATTAGCTGTAATGCGAGGACATTTTTGGGGCTTGGGGACATTTGATGAAAGTAGGGACATTTAAAGGCATTGAAGACATTTTTGAGAGTGAGAATTTTTAGAAAGAGGACATCTGTGGATAGCGGGGCCATTTCTGTAAAGTAGGGGTATTTGAGGAAACTACATTTTAATGAGGACATTTTGGACAATTGGGACATTTTTAAAAAGTGAGGAAACTTCACTACTTTGTCTTCAAAACGCTGAAAATGTAAACTTAGTTTTAGGGTCCTTCCAAGTATAGTAGTACGCATGCGCTGTTTGCATTACCTCTGTTGAGCAGGGCGGCGGTGTGCACCCCGGGGTCCTTGGTTGTGATGTCACGCAGGAGGTCACCGACCGTGGTCAACATGGGCGTCAGAGTGAAGCGACTCTGCTGACCAGCAGGGAGTCGCAGAGAGAGGACGGGGCGGCCGAAGCTGTAACGAACAAACGCATCTGAAAGAGAAAGAGAGATGTCCTCCATACAATAATCCACACGGTGCCTAAAATAAAATCTAATTGCTGTTTTGAAATTGATTTTTCATGTATTATTGTTCATGTCTTCCTTGTTTTAGCGGTTATATTTTATTTATAGCTGGTTCACTCATAAGGACTTGTAGCATGCTAACATGGTAAGCTAAGATGGTAAACATTATACCTGCTGAACATCAGCATGTTAGCGTTTAGCTCGCAGCTGTGCAGACATACAAACTGTTAGCATGGCTGTAGACTGAGTGTTGTTGGTTCACAGTCTAAAGCCTGTAACAATGCAGGTAACATCCCTTTTAAATGAGGTGGTTTTGGAAGCGTTGCTGTTGGAGTTACTTGATTACCTGTGGATGTGGGCTGGCTGCTGAACCTGGAAACAACACAAGCAGACCAGACCGGACTGGCCTGGGGGGGAAAGAGAAATATATCACACCTCTGACTCTTCTTCCTGAACCAGAAACCAACGCCCTTCTGTTTGCTTTTGAGTCATGTGTTCATGAATTTTAGGGACACTACATTGACTTACATTCATTTCCTGGAGACGTATCAACCATTACCATACCAGCGTCGTCCTAAAGATGACTATACTTTAAGCTTAAATCAATGAAGGCGTGTCCCCACAAGTTGGGTAAAACTAGCAGAAGCATTAGTACTAGCAGTACAACTAGTAGTAGCACTGATGCTATCAGTTGTAGCATACAGTACTAATATTGTTGTTGCAATGCAAGTATTTGAAGAAGTTGCATAGTATTAGTAGTAATAGCAGTCAGCAGTAGTTTCTGACACAATTGTACGAATGTTAGTAGTTTTTCTTTATTCAATGTTGATGTATCGACACATTTACAGAACTTCAAGCCTCCATCTTTAAGGAAAACAGGATCGTTTAAAGAAAGGGTTAGGAATCTCCCAGACTCTTGCTCTGTAAAAAGTACCAGATGTTAAACTCACTGCGTAGATTCGGAGTCCTGCAGGTTTAGAGCGACAGAACCTGCAGAGGAATGTGGAGACTAACATGGTGAGACGACGATGAACTCACTAAAGAGACAAACTGCAGATATGAAGCTTCTTTGGTTTTTAACCAGCCGGCAGCCTCGAGGGCTGGAATGTTTCTGAGGCGAGTAGAAACAGGTTTTCATGGAAGGCTGAACCGCAGGAGGAGGAGGAGGGGAAGTTAACCCTCTCATGACTCACTCAGACTTTAAAATAGTTTGTTTCTCTGGCAGGAAATCCTTCTCCACACAGGAAGTGACTGATTCAAACTGAGAAGTCGTACAACAGCAAGTTAAAGGACATTAAAGACACAAAACTAACGTAGTATTTTCTTGGAAATGCTTCCAACTTCATTTGCACTGCACAAATAACACACTGAACCTTTTATCTTCAAAGTGTACTAATGTTTCTTGTTGAACATCAACTAAAACTCTGCTCTGGACACTTTACACACATAAATAAACACTAAGTTGCTCTCCAGTTCATTTCCCATAATTATGTCATTTTTAACTCTTGTTAATAATCTCCGGTTTCGGTTCTCAAATAAAGAAAACCTCATTTGCGTTGCAGATATTAAGCACAAAACGAATTCAATTAAGCCGTCTCACCTGAGACTCTCCAGTCCAGCAGACAGCAGCTTTGCTAATGAGAGGGGTGGGACACTTGTTATTGTGTTCTCATTTATTATTTACATAACTTATTTGCTACTACCTGCACATGTTCTCTATTGTTTAGTGTATATTTGTATGTTTTTAATGGGTTGTGTAATGTGTACTATATGTACCTTGCTGTACTTTACCTCAAGTTACCACTGAGGTAAAGTACATCTTACTGTGCACATTCAGATTATTGTACTCAGAATCCCAGCATGCCTTTCTCTCTCTGAGTGTTTCTGTCTGTCAGCTGCAGTTCAACATGTGACCTCAGGGCGGCGCCGTTGTCCCGTCGGTCCACATTCACTGAACCTCTGACACAGAAACTCTGTGTGTGTGTGTGTGTGTGTGTGTGTGTGTGTTGCATTTAAAGTGCCAGTACCTCTAACTGTACTTTAGTACAGTAATTGAGCAACTGTAGTCTACTAAGTTACGTCCCAACACTGTTTTTGAAATGAAACTCTGTTCCATGAAGAAGAACTGAACTTTCTGTGATTGAAGAGAATCAAACGTAGATATTTGTTTTGGTTATTTCTTAGATGTGAAGATGATTTGAACGAGTCGTCAGAAGAATTAACATGAAAGAAAAATAAATGTGCATCATAATAAACTCATGACTTTAATTTAATATTTAATAAGTCAGTTTGGTCTCAAAAGTCACAGTTCTGATTTACTATCTAATAATCTTAAAATATACAGTATTGTTTTATTATCTTTCATATTTATTTAATATATATTATATGAATTCAATATCATTTTGATTTAATAACTCTCTAAATTAATTAATATCTATAATGTTAATTCATATTTAATTAATATATATACAATGTTATTTTAATATCTATCATCTTGATTTAAAGGATTATTTTTGTCTTAATCTTGATTTGGTAAAAACTAAATTTCTCATAATTCACCAGGTTTTATAATTTTCTTCTCTACTTTCTTGTGAGAAAATGTGTCCTCTAGATGTTGAGGAAAGGTGCTTCAATGCTTCCTTTCTTATCCCCTTTAGCAAAGGAAACACTGGAGCATCCTTTACCAAAGGAAAGGAGATAATGCCGACCCACAATTCCTTGTGGCGGCGACATTTAAAGTGACGCATCATGAAAACAAACGACATGAGGTAAAAAAGTATTAAAGTGTTAAAAAGCAAAACTTAATCCTCGGTTCTCCTTTCCTAACTCCTAATGAACTCTCCTTCACATCTTTCCTTGACCTCAGGACGGTTTCCAGAGAGCTCAAGGAAGAGAGGTTAGGAAAGGAAAGGTTAGGAAAGGTTAGGCGGTTAGGACAGGAAAGGTTAGGAAAGGTTAGGCGGTTAGGAAAGGAAAGGTTAGGAAAGTAAGAGTCCACCTCAGCTCAGGAAGAAGTCCACCAATCAGGAGCTGAGAGCCCAGGAAACAGAAGGAGAGGAAGCAAGGAGGGAACTAAAGGGAACAGGTCTGTGGAGTGTACTTATATACACAACACATAAAGAAATACATATTGTACTTTTTACTTTAATAATTACTTTGGAGAATATTAAATTTTTACGCACAAATGTTGATACACATTGTTATATA